GTCTAGAAGAGGACTACTCAAGATGTCGTATGGGCCATAGTAGAGTTGTGTTCGAAAATATTAGGTCGGTCCATAATTTTTGAGAACCTTTGGTGTGTTTTCGATTCAATTACTTATCTTATTTCTCTGATGTATTTATTCAGCACAGTATACATCACCATTATTACCAACATATAACCAATGCGAGGGTGGGTATTCAGTGCCTCTCTTGTAGAATTTCATAGAGTTCTGATCGAAGAAATATTGGATGTCGATTTTGACATACAATGTTAATTCAAGTAAGATTTCTTCTCCAGATTTAGAAGGAGAGCGGATGGTCGTCCTCGGTGGAAGGTTAGTGCTACAAGCCCGAACCAAAAGACCTGACTTCAGGAAAAAATAGGTTTTGTCTTACATGACTTGCGGTTTGAAGGTGTCGCCATCAAGCTGCCGACGACTGTCTTCAAGACTGACACTGGTATGAGTTGGTGCCGGTTCCCGACGCAAAACCCCTCTCGTATCCCGCCAACAACTCAGGAAGTTAGAATTCAGAGGGAGTTGGGCTTTGTCAGAGTTCCTGAAACCATTTAAGCTAAACTACTGCGGCTTGCGGAAATGTTAGCACACTGCACCCTGTCCACATCGTCGGTGAGTATGGCGATGGTCATTCGAAGGTGTTATGGGAAACCAATAGGAACATGATGATGTCAGATCGGGTTTAGAGCTGATTCGGGCTCAGAGCATGTGAGAGACAAACTCCATATTTTCAAACCTTAGCGACTTTATCGAGATGTCTCAGTACTCTGACCTGTCACACCAAAAGCGCTCTGACAAATAGCGCCCACTTTGTTCAGATTCCTTTTCAATGGCGCCGGATAGAGCATCGAGATTAGTCACGGGAGTGGTTGGAGTGTGGATCATCTTCAAATAAAAGGAGGAAACCCTGAGTAGAGGTACCCACCGGAGCACCGTAGAATGAGAGAACGTGCCCTCAGCTATCTTCTGGTTAATCCCTCCACATAGCCTGGCGCGTGGAGAAGCCTAATCTGAAGCAAGGGTCAAACCCTAAATGTTGCTACAAGTACTAAGCGGGGGGGTCGTACCTGGTTTGAGTTATAGGGATGCCAGTGTGGATCATCTCCATCTTCTCCCCCCCCTCCATAGCCTCTTTTTGGGATAAAAACTGTTGATAGAAAGAAAGGGGTCCGTATGAAGCAAATTTATAATGAGGGGGTCGTAAAAACCTTTTTGAAAGTAGCAAACGTAAGACCGATCCACTGATCGAAGTCCCAATGAAGGAACGAGCTTCAGACACGTAGGTTTCAAGGAAAGAATCCTAGCTAAAGAAAGAAACAAGCAAACGAGAAGGGTAGACTGTCAGATGGGCGAGCTTGTGTGCAGAGTTGCAAAGATCTTGGAAAGCTTCAATACTTATAAAAAATTTTTACAACAATACCTCTAAAGTGCCTCAAAAATTTTGGAGCAACCTAATATTTCCAAGAATACCTCCAAATTTCTTAATAGGTTCCCCAACATTCCAAACACTAATTCTTCCCATATATCTCCGAAATACATGGTTTTTTTTTTCGTATGATTGCAAAATGAATACGAGTCCTCCCCTCCTAGGGAAAATTCCAACGAGTGGTCGACCCTGTTCTGTACCAACATTCGTCCATTATTCCTTTGACGGTTGAGCTGGTTCTTGAAGGGTCTGCAGAGAGCTCCGTCTAGCTGGTCATTCTAAACATCACTGCAGTCAGCTTTTGTCACACACTACTCAATCGATTAGGCCTCGGCAGAAGTCCTTCGACAAACAATGGAGGCTCAACATGAGCTCATTACTGGTATCGCATAACCGTCAAGATTACCTTACCCTCCTTGGATGGAAACAATGGCTCGTAGTACTTGTTCTGTCTTAGAGAGATTTTGGACCTTTTTTTCTCAAAAAAATTCAGGTTAGCTCAGAAAAAAGCGCCTGCACAAGTGATACCCGAGCCCTCTGTAGGTATGGATCCTGGAAGATCCAAGAGACTTCTTCAAGCCTTTGAGCAATTTTTGGGCCTTGAAAAACGCCTGTTGCATCCCATGTGGGGGTGAAGTGCTGCAAAACAGTTGAGCAGAAAGCCGATCCGCTTTGGCAGTGCCATTAATGTAATTGCCCCTTTGAACGTCTTTCAGAAAGATTTCCACTTTGGCTCGCAAATCAGGATTGGGAAGGTTTCCATGGTGAAGACAATCAAAAGGTCGCCTTACTGAGGAAATAACCCTCGACCATCAGTCATGGTTCTTCGTCCCGTTCCGAGTTCTCGGAAATCGTCGAACACCCAGCCGCTGGACAGCCCCGGTCACTCGCGAGTTCAGCGGCGCTATTTCCGAACCGCTCGGCCCCTACCAAGCGCTCACGCCGCTGCAATTACTTGTTACGCGGGCCGAAGGGGGCGGGGCCGGCTCCTCTGGGACAGGCACGCACGGCTCCGGCGGGACACTGTCGTTTCCCGCGTCACTTCTGCGAAATCGGTGATTCAGTGCGATTTCTTGGTTCCCATGAACTTCTCCACTTCTCATTCTTTCGTTCCCATTTCTTTCCTCTTTGATTGTCATCTCTCCTCTTGACGCTCGATAGTTACAAATTCAAATTTTGTGGTCATTTTTTTCCGCATTCATTTCTTCATTCAATTTAGTGTTTTCGAAAGGGCACATCATGGCTGAAATGGAGCAACCAGCAGAAGAAGATGGTGGAGGGTAAGTTGACTTTTAATTTTGCTTTTCTACGACAATCACGATATTTGGTGCCCTTAATGTACATCTGCGAATATGGCGCAGGTGCTAAGCTGAGAAGAACGATCGATACCGTGTCCCTGACGATGAAGGGCATTCATATTAGCCGAGTTTAGCCAGCTTTAGTGTACAACATCGAAAAGAACTCGCAGTTATGGCCTATGTTGAGATAGCCGAAGAAATAATCTTTTTCTACATAGAAGAGCAAATCGTTCCATAATGGGTGGCAAAGTAACGAAGACCTAATGAGAGAAGGAATTCAAAAGCCTTGTTTATTTTTTGAGGAACATACAGGGCTTCAGTGACTAGCTTTGGTGGCCAAGTTACCTATTGCTTCAGTGGAATTGCTAGGTATTCCCGCGCAATGTGGCTCCAGGGGGGGGCAGCCGAAAACTTGGCGTGAAATTTACGGATTTGCTCAGTTTCGGGACTAAGCTTTGGAGGAGAAGAGGGAATCCGAGCTGCACAAGCAATTTTCATTCGCTCCGGAATTCGTCCCTCTGCGTTGGGCTTAGTCCTTGTGGCCTTCCGACAGACTGTCCCCCCCCCCACCCCCGGAGGCACATTGCGCCGCCGATATTCCAAATTAACAGGATTATTGAATGTGATCAATTTATAGAAGAGCCCATGGAGGAGGATTCCCTGCTGACCAATGATCCAGATGACGCTGAAATGGTGGACGGAATGGATGAAGAGCAAGAGGAATTCGGTACAGGTAAGGAAATTTGTCACCATTTTGCGCGGTTTCCCTCGAGGAAATTTCAGGGTTTTTCTTACTCAAATTTGTTAGTCGATGTTGCTAACCAACTTTTCTGACAGCTGGGAGAGTAAATTCAACAAGTGTCCAGTGCTTATCTCATCGTTATTGGTTGAAAACATGGCAAGAAGTCGGCATATGCTCAGCGCTTTTTTTGTAATATTTAAGGGCGCTCATGGCCTTGGGGGGGGTCGTTGGACTACTGTTCGGTCCTTTAAGCTGCCTCATTGGACGCATTCGTCTGCGCTCTCTCGCTTTATCAGCGGCTGTGATCTCACACACACAGGCCACTGTGGTCTCACACATTCAAAGTCACATTGTATTTGGTTCACCCACCTCTGAGTCTCCCCCCTTTTTTTTTACTAGGTTCAGACCCATGGCTCTTACCTCCTTCCTTAGGATCTGGGCGAGCCAGGCGCGGTTCTCTCGTCCGTGGTACCTGCTATTCGTAGCAGACGAAAGTTCAAATAGTCTGTTAACCCTCTGGGGTGGGGGCGGACATTCAAAACAGGGCATATAAAAACCGCTGAGTGATGACACTAGGGCAGAGCCCAGGAGAGGGGAGAAACGCTAGGGTGATCAAAAATCGCTCATATCCACTCCCGGAATCCGTTCCCTCCCTAATTCCTACGCCAAGTACTGTAAGTGGCTCACTCACTTCAAAGTCCTCCCTCCCACACAGGAACCCCCAGTTAAGCTTACCCTGTTTTAGTAGCTCTATATAGCCATTGGGTTCTAGTGCCGAAGGAGTAGCTTTGGTGCGTTTTGAGCCTGTCTCCTTTGTGTCACAGCCTCATTAACTGCATGTTTATTGGACCTTAATAGTTTTTTCCTAAGAAATTTGATTTCTAGACAAGACTAAAAGGAGCAAAAAAGGCAGTCGAGGACGCAAATCCAAAGGAAGTAGAAGAAGATCAGAACATCCCGACCCTGCAACCGCATCCTCCGCAGATATGTGCGCAGCTCTCGATATTCAAGATGTCACAGTTGAATATACAGAGGAGGACTACTCTTCTATCACCAGCTTGAAGGTAGGTCGTCGTTGGGCACGGACGTTAAGCACTTCAGTGTTATTGATTTCATGAAGCTTTCTTCAGAGTTTTATTCACCGAGTGCGACCGGCAATTCTAGAGGCGAATCCCAAGTGTAACGCAACAAAGGTTTACCCTCTAATTCAAGTGAAATATCGTGAGTTCCAAGAAGAGCTTGCAGCTCAGGGACGCTCACAGGCAGTGAAGAAGGCATCAAAGCAGTTCGTTTTGTTTGTTCTCGAATAGGACTGTATCTCTTGAGATTATTGCTTCACCAGATCTTTCGTGTGCTGCTCTTATTCTTTGTTTTTAGGCCAAAATCAGTACCTGTCGAACAAGATAAGCTTGTAGCTCCAATCAAGATACGTATATCTGCTCGCAAAAAGCGGAGGAATGACTCAGACGACGAAGGTAGTTCATCTTGAATTGCATCTTATATTTAATTGAAAAATATTCCAAAGGAGGATGTAGGGGACTAGTTTAGCGCGAATAAATACCTTTTTTCAAACACGTCACACATTCAACTTATTCGTGCCCCTACTCCCGAATCTTATGAAGATTCTAGCAAAGTTGTGGTCCCATTTTCTACTCAGTGAACTATTAAGGCGGTGACAGTGACCAGGAATTTGAGTCTCTACTGAAGCAGCATGAACATCAACTTGATGAGGAAGATAAGGAGAAAGAGGAGAAAAAAGCGAGCCGGTTTGTTTCAGCTTCCTTAATTGCATGATGTTCCCCGTCCTTTTTGTGTTGTTTATCCACATATTTAAGGGCGCAGCAACGCGCTGATAGAAAGAAACAAGCTTTAGAGAAGGCGCAAGCTTCTAGAAAGGCTAAACGTGCCAGGGGCGAGGAGGAAGAGGTAATGGTCGCAGTGCTTTCGTGAAGTAGTTATTCAACAGGTTTATGTATTCACTTAAGATGGAACATCAAGATTACTGTGAGGTATGTCGACAAGGTGGTGAGATTATCCTCTGTGACACCTGTCCTAGAGCCTATCATACTGTGTGCGTGGATTCTGAAATGGAACAAGCTCCTGAGGGTGAGTGGAGCTGTCCACACTGCGAAGAGCACGGGCCACCGCTCCCACCAAAAGAAGAAGAGCCAGTGAAAGTCAATATGGAGTACTGTCGAGTATGCAAGGTGTGCCACTTTTTCGTATCTACTTTCAGCTGTAAAATGTGAACAAATGTTTCATGGTTGCTTCATCGCCTCTGCAGTCTTCACGAGTACTACATCATCGATCGCTTTTCTTCCAATGAAGTGTGTTTTCAGGGTACAGGATCACTTTTGTGCTGCGATAATTGCCCCAGCTCGTTTCACGCCTACTGCGTCAATCCGCCTCTTGAAGAGGTAGAATTTAAATTTTTACTATTCTCTCAAATTTCTCTTCAATGTTTCCGTTAGGTACCAGAAGACGAGTGGCTCTGCCCGAGATGCACTATACCAGAGCCAAAACAGCGGCCTGAGAAAATTCTGTGCTGGAGGTGGATAGAAATTCCATATCCCGACCCTATTGAGGCGAGTCCCGATGCAGAACCAGATAAGGTGAGTATACAGGTGCAGCCCACGTTCAACATGACAACCTAGTGTTCACTATTCCTAGGACGCTATTCTTCTCCGTCCGCCACGCAAGATGGAACCCCGCAGAGAAAGGGAGTTTTTCATCAAGTGGAGATATATGTCCTATTGGCACTGTGAATGGGTTAGCGAGACACTTATGGACGTATATTTTACTGCGGTATGTTTTCTTCCATGCTTGTTCAGGGATCATTTTTTCTGACCCTATTTAGTTATTGTTATTCTTACACATCTTTTTGGATATTGGTCTTTTGTAGCTACTACGAATGTACTGGCGAAAGTATGACAGCGAAAATCCACCCATCTTCGACGAATCAACGGCACAACGGCATCATAAGGACAATGATCCTTACGAACTTCGTGAAAAGTTCTACCAATACGGCATTAAACCGGAATGGATGCAGGTATTTCATCGACTTTAAACTTTCTGCTGAGTAGTGGAATTGTTTCAGAAAAGTTAGTGACTTGCAGGTGCACCGCATTATAAATCACATGCAGTACGGAAAAACTCAATTTGATTATCTCGTGAAGTGGAAGGAGCTCGCATACGAACAAGCTACTTGGGAAAGAGACGATATGGATATTGCTTACTATGAGGATGCCATAAATAAGTATTGGATACATAGGTAATTGCCAAATTCTGGGTCTTGTCTTCAGCTGGTTGTGACTGTAGTTTTGGTTTACAGAGAGAAAATGCTTGGCGAGCCAATTCCCAAACATATAGCCAAGAAGATTGCTGCTCAAAGAGAGAAAAAAGGGCTACCTCCTCTTGAAAGTGTTGACGAACAGTTGAGTAAGAAGAAGAAACGGGACAAGCCTCTCACTGACGTAAGTTTATGACATTTACCCCCTCGCGAATGTTCTTTCACTGTAGTGAATGTAGTGATATGCAATGTTCCAAATAAAAAATCTTTAAGATCCGGAAGAAATATGAAGCGCAGCCTGATTACATCACAGAAACTGGTGGAACTCTCCATCCTTACCAGCTTGAGGGTACGAACCTATCTAGGCTGTCCTTTGTTGTGATTTTTGGAGGTTATCGCTCAAAGATGGAAAAAGTGAAGTAAATTCCTGTCGTTCTAGGCATTAATTGGCTACGGCATTGCTGGTCAAATGGAACTGACGCTATCCTCGCTGATGAAATGGGTTTGGGAAAAACTGTTCAGTCTCTCACCTTCTTGTATTCACTTCTGAAGGAAGGTCATTCAAAGGGGCCGTTCATCGTACGTATCTTCCCATTAAACTATGCAAATAGTGACGTGAGTAGGAGCATTGTTTCATCCTGATTGTCTTTGTAGATTGCTGCACCCCTTTCGACGATCATTAATTGGGAGCGTGAAGCGGAGCAGTGGTGTCCAGACTTCTACGTCGTCACTTATGTGGGCGATCGCGACTCGAGAATGGTCATTCGAGAGCACGAATTTTCGTTCGTTGAAGGGGCTGTAAAGGTGAGAACTACTAAGTCAGCAGTAGTGACTCCAACTGTTATGGCTGTTCCATTAATTTTTTCAGGGAGGTCCTAAAGCTTCAAGGATGCGTTCGCAGGAGAACATGAAGTTCCATGTTCTTCTTACTTCATATGAGTGTATCAATATGGATAAGGTTTGTCATCTGATTAGATCACTATGAATACTGTAAGCAAGGCAAAGCCTGACTTCGACTGACCTTACTAAATCGTCTCAAGAGCAATTTCGTAACTTTTAACCATATGACACAGGACGTGTTTTGACAAATTCCAGTCGGAACGGGCATACTAGAGTGCTGCGCACTGTGCTTTGAAACTTACCACATCTGTAGTTAGCTGTATCTGATAAACCTGTCTTCAGGCGATTCTGTCTTCCATTGAATGGGAAGCATTGGTGGTTGATGAAGCTCATCGTTTGAAAAATAATCAATCTACATTCTTCAAAAACCTTCGGTAAATTTTATCATTGCTTTTTTTATCTTATAGGCATCAAAACCTCTTTTTCAGTGAGTATAACATTAACTACCGTTTACTCTTAACTGGTACACCACTGCAAAATAACCTCGAGGAGCTCTTCCATTTACTCAACTTTCTTGCTCCGGACCGTTTCTTGTAAGTGTATTATATTCATTGATTGCCAAATTCTACAAGTAAATAGTTAGATTGGAGTTCAGTTTGAAATTGAAAATATTGAGGTGGGAAGGATAAAGTAGCCTGACTCCTTTCCATGCAAGCTCTTAGCAAGGAGCCAAACTGTAGAATTACAAATTATAAGAAAATTAATTGTGCAAGACTTTCGCCGAGTGAACCGGCCTCAGAAATGACCGAATTGTGCCTGCCCTTGCTAAGAAATTAGTTTCTCATTCGGGTATCGTTTCTCTTCGTTTTCGTGAGCACGATTGGCTGGACGAGCTCCTAACATTAAAAGCGTCATCTGTATTGAAAGCGGCCTGCTGATCTCATCCACCTTCAAGTACGAAGAAAAGTGAAGATTCACCTTAGCAAGCATTACCAGTGGCAATTTAGCGATTCCGGGAACGATTCTCTTTGCGGTAGGGACTACTACGAAATGAAATGCTTCGATGCTTGATCTCATCGTGCTTCTCTCGCAACGCCTTCTACTTGGTGCATGCTGGATTCGGTGATGTATTCGCCATGTAAATCAGTTGAAATAACAAGATCAGGCTCATATTTCTGGCAACTGGTGAACGTTTTCCACCTCGCTGGTCTCAGCGAAAAACTTCCATCCTGCTGCTGCAAGCAGGTGGTCGATACCGCAGGATCGAATGATATCTCATTTTCTGCCGTGATCCACCATAGAATTTAAACAATCATCACTCGGTTGACGAAGCCGTGATCCCAATGTGGACCTGAAAAGTAAATGCTTCTCAGTTTGAAACGAGGGCATTGTAGAGTAAGCCACTCCTTTAGTTGCTGGCAATGTTGTTGTTGTTTATCGGAGAGACCTAGCCTGAAAAAAGCGGCTCTCGAAAGAATTCTAGTGTTTGAATTGTGTGGGTTGCCATTTCTCCAAGAATACAGGTTTCTCTTGCAGTTCTCAAGATAGACCATTATGTATTCCAAAATGTCGACTTTTGATTGAGGGATTCATTATGATGATCCAAAAATAGCAAAGTTTAGCAGTGTCGCGATTGCGTTGTGGTGTTCCTCACTGCGCGGGCAGACTCAAAAAAGCTGGGTAAAATGAAAAAAAAAACGGACTTTATGTTCGATTTTCAGCATATTTTAAGAACAGTTTTTCAGCGACTTGGAGTCATTCACTCTGGAATTTGCCGAAATTTCCAAGGAGGATCAGATTCAGAAGTTACATTCACTGTTGGGACCGCACATGTTACGTCGTTTGAAAGCAGACGTACTCACAGGAATGCCATCTAAGAGTGAACTGATTGTTCGAGTTGAGCTCAGTTCATTGCAAAAGTGAGTTTGCTTTGCTACATATTTACTAGCCACAGTAACAACTGCTCGTCGAATTTTCTCTGAGCTTCTTGAGTTGCTCTGTTCTTCATATCACTTGCTTCAATTGAGCCGCAACAATAGCTGCAATAGAGCCAGTTTCATAGGCCAAAGATTTGAAAGTTTCTACATATCTTTCAAGCAGCTGCGAAAGTTATGCGATTGTATTTAGGAAGTACTATAAGAACATTCTTACTCGTAACTTTGACGCTTTGAATGTCAAGAATGGTGGATCGCAGATGTCATTGATCAACATAATCATGGAGTTGAAGAAGTGTTGCAATCATCCTTACCTCTTCGCAAAGGCCAGCATGGAAGCGCCAAAGCTCAAAAATGGGATGTAAGTTTTTTCTCATTGCGATAGGCAACCTTCCTCTCATTATAATATCAGTTTTATGAGTGTTTTAGGTACGAAGGGACACAGCTGATAAAAAATGCTGGCAAGTTTGTTCTGCTGCAGAAAATGATGCGAAAGTTGAGAGAAGGTGGTCATCGTGTTCTGATATTCTCCCAAATGACTATGTAAGCGTTTTTACGCGTTACTTTTGCGCGATTTCTATTGTTAGACAAAAAGAATTTTCCAGGATGTTGGATATCCTGGAGGATTTCTGTGAAGTGGAAGGCTACAAATATGAACGAATTGATGGATCTATTACTGGTCAAGCAAGGCAGGATGCTATAGATAGATTCAATGGTACTCTTCCATAATATCATGTAGCATGGCTGGCAGCGGTACAGATTTTCAATTCTAGCTCCTGGTGCACAACAGTTCGTGTTCCTTCTTTCTACTCGAGCTGGTGGTCTCGGTATCAATCTTGCAACGGCTGATACTGTAATTATTTACGATTCGGATTGGAACCCTCATAACGACATTCAGGTACTGTTTTATGGAAGTGAAAGTGTAATGTTATTTCGTTCTTCGTACTAAACGAGACTTTCCCAGGCATTTTCTCGTGCTCATCGAATTGGACAGCAAAATAAAGTCATGATTTACCGTTTTGTAACGAGAAATTCTGTGGAGGAACGAATCACATCCGTTGCAAAGAAGAAGATGCTGCTCACTCACCTGGTTGTCAGAGCAGGTCTCGGCCAAAAAGGCCCGAGTATGAGTAAAACAGAGCTCGATGACGTGCTAAGGTTGGTAGCATCAATCATTCGATCTTTCTTTCCAGCTAAAAATGAATGTGTTGCGGTAGCGCAAAAACATTAGCCAAAGGGCAACGGTGCGCCTCCAGCACGTTTTCAGTGCTGATTTTAACGGTGGTTCTGACGTTTTTCATTTGCGCAGTAGCATGTTGAGTTGTACCTATATCTACCCCTTAGAATCAGTTGTAATACGCAGTCTAGATTCATTCTTCACCTAGCGATGACCTCATACATTCTTGTCTACTGTCACCTTTTTTTCGTCTTTTCATAAATTCTCATTGTAGGTGGGGCACAGAAGAGTTGTTCAAGGATGATGAGCCACAGCCAGGAGAAACAACTGAAGGGGAACCTGGAAAGAAAGCTAACGAGAATGAAATCGTGTGGGATGATTCCGCTGTTGATGCTCTTTTAGACAGGGATAGAGACACCGAACCGAAGGTATGTTTGCGAATTGCAATGTTCAAATTTTCTTAGTCATAGAGATGCTTTTTTAGTATTATATCCATACTCATTGTTAGCATTTGAAAAACACTAATTGATTAGCGATGCTTTATGCTAAAGCTTTAGGACAAGGATGGGGAGAAGAAAGAACACTGGACCAACGAGTACCTCAGTTCGTTTAAAGTTGCAACGTACACCACAAGGGAGACTGATGACAAAGAGGAAGAGGAAGAGGAAGAAATGGAGGTTACCTCTACATGATATCAGTGTCTAATTGTCACAATTGTTGCATGCTCAATTTTCATTAAATCAAATCTGCCTTCAAGGTTATCAAGGAAAACGATAAGGAGCCTGATCCGGACTATTGGGAGAAGCTTCTTCGGCATCACTATGAACAAGATCAGGAAATGGAAGCACAGAAACTCGGTAAAGGCAAAAGGCTACGCAAGCAGGTCAACTATGCAAGTGAGAACATGGGTCAAGACTGGCAGAATCGCGGTGGAGAGGTTGTTTCGAGTTTAGTCATCTTCTGAATTAGTATGATGCACGTTGTTTTTCAGCAGCAAAACAACGATGATGATGATCTCTCTTCATATGACGGTGGATCGGAGAAAGCCTCTGGTGAACACTCTGATGACGATTTTGAAGGTATCGGAGGAGAGAAGAAGAAAAAACGAGAAAGAGATGCTGAAAAACTCCCACCACTCCTTGCAAAGGTAGTTTTTTGATCATCTGTTGATGTTTTCTTTTTTTTAACACATTCACAGCTCATTTCTAGGTCAACGGCCAATTGGAGGTGCTTGGCTTCAATCCCAGGCAGCGTCGAGCTTTCTATAATGCAGTGATGCGCTGGGGGATGCCTCCGCAGGATGCCTATCAGTCGCAGTGGCTTGTTAGTGCACTACTCCTTCATCTCCATTCTTCCTCGCATGTTTCGTTAGGTTAACCATTTGTTTCCAGACACGTGATTTAAAAGGAAAATCCGAGAGAGCTTTCAAAACATACACGTCTTTATTCATGCGACACTTGTGTGAGCCTGGCGCGGATAGTCAAGAAACATTCAATGATGGCGTTCCTAGAGAGGGACTCAATAGACAGCATGTGCTCACGCGCATTGGAATAATGAGTCTCATTCGGAAGAAGGTTCAGGTTTGTAAACGTCTCGTCCTTTTTGAAAAGCTCTGGTGTTCTGGGTCGCAGCTTACGACATTCAGGAGTTTGAACAAGTTAATGGTGAGTGGTCAATGCCAGAAGTACGTGCAAAGGTTTTGGAAGCAGCTGGAGCTAGTGCAGTAAAGACCACTTCATCATCCAAGGCAAGCAGTCGTGAACAAAGTGTTGCTCCCGAAGATCGAAAAGAGGACAGCAGTGATGTTCCTGCTGAGGCACCGGAACCGGTCAAGGTATCTTTTCATTGTTACCTTCGCACTCTGGAGCTGAAGATTGATTATTTCTTGTTATGTTGCATATTGGTTTTTCATTGGGCATTTCCTTACTTTCATTTCAGGCGGAAGCCGAAGATGCAGCATCAACTGCACCAGATTCGAAAGAAGATTCCAATGCAACTACTGCTGTTGAAGAAGAAAGCGATGGATTAACGAAAAAGAGTGGCCGCCCTCCATTCAAGTTCAACATGGCTGGTTCGTGGTTATATACTTTCTCCCTTCATTACTAATTTGTTTATGCAATCTTATCTCACTTGTTACTTCGACCCACATATTTGCTTCAGACGGTGGATTCACTGAGTTACATACGTTGTGGGTTAATGAGGAAAAGGCCGCTGTTCCTGGTAACGAGTACGAGATTTGGCATCGCAGACATGATTACTGGCTCTTGGCTGGAATAGTGCAGTATGTCTTATACCTATGCTTTCTTAACATTCTATAGTGAGACATTAATGTTCTACTCAGGTATGGTTATGGGCGATACCAGGACATCCAAATGGATCCCCGTTTTGCTATAATCAATGAACCGTTCCGACAGGAACAAGGAAAAGGAAACTTCCTTGAGATCAAAAACAAGTTCCTGCAAAGACGTTACAAGGTACATTAGGATAATCCATCTTATCGCGATTCGTGACAACACACTCGTTTTCAGTTACTAGAGCAAGCACTAGTGATTGAGGAGCAGCTCCGCCGTGCTGCGTACATGAACCTACAGAACAGTACAACTGATGGAACTGCGCAGTTAGCTCAGCGATTTGCTGATATAGAAAATGTGGCTGATTCGCATGCGAATGTGGCGAAGGATTCGGCAGCTGGTAATCGAAATGCGAATGCTGTTCTTCATAAGGGTATGTTCTTCATTGTTTGTCGCTTTATTGAACTTCAGCAAAAAGCTGTTGATCTCAGTTTCCTTGGAAGCCAAATGTTTGATCTATCTGTCTTGTCGTTTGGCAATCACATGCAATTACATTTTCAGTGTTAAATCAGCTAGAGGAATTGCTGTCGGACATGAAAGCAGATGTTTCTCGTCTACCTGCTACTCTGTCACAGCTGCGGCCTGTGACACACAGATTGGCCATGACCGAAAGACAGTATGTTCAAAATAGTTTTCGTAGTTCCAATGATAAACGCTTTCATCTATTACGTCTTTCAGAATTTTGTCACGTCTCACATCAAAAGATCCTGACGCTGTCGCTGGTCGATCTCCTCTACCACCGCCTGGACCTTTTGTGACCCCAACTCTGGGTCAGCAGTTATCTGGTATTCAACCGAAGTTCGCAGCACTTCATCAGCCAGGAAAGGTGCGATATTTTTCTTCACTGCTACTTCTTGTTCTTTTTTCACATCTTTCCAATCCTTTACTTCTAGATGTCGAGCATGTTTGCGGACGTTTCCGACCCTCCATCTTCCTCCGATGCCCCACCACCTGAGAAAAAGCCTGGTCTGCCTTGTACAGCTAACCTAAGTATAATATTACTGGTTTCAATCAAATATTTCAGCTACTGAAGAAAACGTTTCGTGCAAATCGGCTATTGAAGAAGAAACTCCCATGGATCTCTCCGCACCACCACAACCGCCAGCTGTAGATAAGCCTGCGGAGAAAACGGAGAGCGCACAAGAAGTCTCTACTGCATAATTTCTCTTCGTAGTGATACCTATGATGTGCATTTTGGAAATCATTTCAAACCGGCTACACTTGCATTCTGTGAAAAAGCAAGCCATTTCATTCTATTTATTTCTGTGTTTGTTATTATACTCTAATCAGTCGAGGCATTAATAGTTGCTTTCCACGAGCGTGTATGTCCGTGGAGTTCAACGGTCAATCTCTTTCTAAAACTCAAGTCATGTTTCATTGTAGAATAGCTTGCTTGAGTCTGTAATGTACGAAATTTTAACCAACTTTTCTTTACGGTCACTATGTTCAATGTTTCAGATAAAATCTGTTGTCTTACTTGTAACCACGAAGCCATATTAAGGTGTTTAGTCATTTACCGATAGGGAAGCCCAATTTTTTTTTACGTAATCCGTTAAGTTTTAAGAGGAATGACGCTGAGAACCCTTGCTCCGGATGGGTTTTCTGTTGCTCAGAGGTGATATTTGCATAACTTATGAGGAGGTCGTGGAGTGTTAGGAAACTGTTTTAGATAACGAGTCGTGCCATGGTGAAGCACTTGCATTTGCACTTGTCCGCTCACCAAAATCTCTTGTTGTGTTAACAATTCCTGGCAGAGAGATAACCCTCAGAAGAAGATATGCTACAATATGTGAAAGGTTGGTGTGACGATGAAACCTGCCATTCAAGGTTTTAGGTGAACTAATTGGTGTAAGAAATCTTTGCAGCGCAATCTTCGTATGTCCCAATTGCTCGGCGTCCTTGGAAAACATCCTTGTTGAAGTCATCTCACACGGGCCTGCGTGCTGTATATTGGACTGTATTGATGTATTTATAGACATGTTCAATGGATTGCACATCGGCTCGGTTTATTTTTTCGTTTGAAAGGCAGGGATATCGATCAGTGCCGATCACCTTGAACTATTATATGATTTGCGGCCCTTTCAGAGAATTCGCGTTCTGCTGTTTGCCTAAAGCTCAATCAACGATGAAGAGTTCAGTCGGCTCTGTGCCGCTGCTAACTCGATCATCAGACTTCAAAGGCGAGAGGATCGCAATGTTTCGGAATTAGTGATGTATAAGAAGAACGGGGAAAACGGACTCAAGTGGTGTGTTTATACTGCGACGATGTTTTTAGAGTTTGGCTCAATATGAGAATGCCATATTATGGAACCTCCACCTATTTTGTCTTGGTTGAGGGACTACAGTCTCTTTTCAAACATTCTGAAACGAATAGAAAGGGTAGCCGTCAGCTAAAGTGTGTAAGCGGTATCTCCATTTTTAAGCGGTCCGGATTAGATCACTGACGAGATCTACCGGCCGGTTAAAATTAGTTGTTATCACAAAGGTAACAATGCATATGTACGCGCTAGCGAAAGTGCCTACAAAGGCTCTAGGGTCTATTCGATCATTTCCAATCAGTGCCGTGAGCGGTACTCTTCATGCCACCATGTGTTTAGACTCTGTGTTGCTGCCTTTTTTACAGCAAGCGCTCTTCGCGTTCTCCCTCCATCGCTAGCATGGGCTACTCCAAGGATATGTCAGCCTTGTACTGGAGGTTTTTCTGTTTTCAGCTATTCGTTTTCACTTTCAGCTTCACCGCACCTCCATCTCCCTTGGAGCGTTCTAACGCCACAAAGAGTGATGTGCTTCCAAAGAAGTTTGTCAGCGCTGGTGCATAAGTATATTACCCAAAGAAGCCACGGCCAGTAAGGGAGGAGACTTAAAAGCACTCATCGCCAGCACTGAGCTACAACGCAGATGTGGCATGCTGCGATTGGAAAAGAGTATAGACGCAAAGCATTAGTAAAGGTATACTTCAAAGCGGAGAGCACGGGAATCTGCCGTTGATGGTTGTGGTGAGAGCAGAATTGCAGCAACAGAAACACTGGAGCATGCGCGCACTTGACGTGAACGTGCTTCAACAAACCAGGGTGAATAACGTCGAGGATTTCCTCGACCATAGCTCTCTACCATGCGAAGAGTTAGTGCCGAGAGTGAACATCCGCGCGGAGAGCACAGACGGCACGCGCATGGCGAGTGAGAGTAGGCAACCCGTCCTCTCTTTAAGGCTTAGTTCTGAGGTAAGCACCAAATTGTGGCGGTTCTAAGGACCGAGTTGAAGTGGTCCGTCCACCGTCGGGGACTCCATCCCCTCCCCAACATTCAGCATACGGTCCCAGCCGAAGCGCCAAAAGGGCTGGTTTGCTTACGTCCCGAGTATGGATGTCCGCATCGAGAGATCGTGTCTGATCGGGCAGAGAATCCTCGACGTGCCGTTGAGGAATCCTCAAGCGATATTCACCCTGCCTGCCCACTGTTTCCCGAAATGCACGTGCTACGCTAAGGTACATTATTGTGACTTTACTTCACACGCGATCATCGCAGTTTCTGCCTTGATGCCGATGAATTGTCGTGTTTTCTTCCTTCACTTTCGATCCCTCACTAGAACCTAGAGCAGTGTCGCAGCTTCTTCAGCAGTCAGGAGACTTTTACACCAATCCTCAACTCAAAATATTTACGGTTACAATTGCTACATCTTAGTTGAGACTTCATGAGAGCCAGAATCATATTGCAGACAGAAACGTTCACTCTGAATGAGGACATGAAAATAGCCAGTGAGAAGTTCGTACCGCTGGATGTCACATCTGTTGCAGCTACGGACAGACCCAAGCATCGCATTGGACTTGGAGCCAGAACTGAGTGTAAGTTTGTTTTTGAAGGGATGCAACATATGCAATGGCTCAATTTCCTGTGATTTGCAGCTCATTTGCGTTCCTTTCAGGAGAAAGAGCTTGCTGCCAAGACCCGATTGAATCTCCCGTTCACCTCACTATCGAAGCAGAGTGGTAAGTTCTCTAGAGGAAATAAAACTACCACAGAAGGAAGACTGTTCAAGCTGGCTGAATCTCGTTGCAAAATTCAGAACTCAACAGCCTTCGGCTAGCTGATCGTAAAGTACGCGTAGGTGGTCAGATCATCTATACGCCGGATAAAGAAGATGACTTGGACGATAGCGATCCTGACGAAGATCTCAATTTGTGGAAGAATATCAATTTTGTGTTAACTGTGTTAACGAGAATAGATTTTATCTCTATCTTTGTGTTCAATTTTGTCAAGTTTATACTTTTTTCGGCTTAGTGTGTCAAATTTTTACTGCCAACACATACTTGGGCCTTTTTCCTCCTGCACCTGCTTTGGAATGTGCTTTCTTCGCGTTATTTCGAGGTTGCCTGATCTCTTCAATCCGTTTATCGACCTGCAAGCAACCCAGTGGACGTTAAAATCCGAGAAAAATCATAATCTGCTTCATCTCCTCTTCTTCGGGTACTCCACTCATCAGTAGGTCTTTGCGTAAATTGGCCTCCTTTCGCTCGCCAAAATTGTTCTGTTCTAACCGTAATTCAGCCTCCCGTTTCGCAACGAGAACCTTGGTCACATAACGAGTGACTTTTTGGTCACTTACCTGAATTGAAAAAGGAATAACTCATAGTTAGCCAGTATAAGGAAGCTTCCCTACTTTGAGCTCTTCCAGTTTCATCCCGATTAGCTCTTCCACGGCTTGAAGGAGCACTATGTCATACTGAGTTACGAATGTTAACGCGGCACCATATCTGGAAAGAATTCAGTGTGATATTCCGATGGTTGCATAGATGGGAAACTCATGACCAACCTTCCAGCGCGAGCTGAACGACCTACGCGATGCACATAGGTCTTCGGCGATTTGGGAACATTGTGATTGACTACCAGATCAACCTGAAATGAATTTTTCCGATAGAGATAATCTAATAGGGGCCATTCAGATCAAAAGTTCATTTTAAATGTGTTCTTCTCAGAATTGCAAAAGGGCTACGGACAAAAATGCGTGTGAAACAAATACTGGTGACAGTAATGCAGACAAATGAGTGATGAAATAGGCTATCAAATAAAACGACCTACATGAGTGATGTCAAGCCCTCTGGATGCCACATCCGTACAGATTAATATCCGTAAGGTTTTTGACCGGAACGAGGAAAGCGCTGCATTGCGGAGACGTTGTTCAATTTGTGAATGTAGCGATGCAACCTGAACAAAAATGACGTATGAATCACACTTCAGTTCTCCACCATTGAATGAACATTAAACGACTGTTGTTGTGACAGTTGGAAAGGGGCAGCATTAGTGAGAGGATAGCCGAGAGGAGAGGCCCATGGAGGAAGCAGCTTACTGGGACGGGGTGCAATTAATAGGGTAAGAGCATCCAAGGAAGTACAAAAAGACAAAAGTCCGACCAATACTAATGGGAAGGCTAATACGCAGCCTGTCAAAATTAGAAAAAAGGAGGACTGAACCAATAAGACGAAAAATCGAGGAATTGGGAATTCCAAAACTGCCGCGACTGCGACAGGTGTCTGCATTGCACTCTGTGAAATCTAATTGATACTAAATGCCTACAATTAGATGGGTGTCAGACTTCGCGATCACAGCTGAGAGTGGAGTGTAAAGCGCGCGAGTGGGCGTGCCGTTATTGACGGTATTTGCACTGCGGCGCCCCGCACCGCTTGTACTCTTGCATCGCGTCCCGCTCTATCACAAACAATCGCGAAGTCTGACGCCTTTGCAAAACAGCACTCACAACAAATTAAGAATAGCTCAAGCTCGTAATATTCACCACAGAAAATTGAAAATTCAAAATGATGCAAAGATAGAAACGACGCCAGCTGTTGTGGCTGCGGATGCGAGGAAGGTTACCTCCTGATTAGTCGAAATAAGAACTCAAATCAATGGACACAAGTGGCATAGTGGCAAACTATGCCGTTTTCGACGCGCACGGCCCGGGAACCAAATCCTGGGACAACCCTTCTATTCCACCGAGGTCAATTAGCTGGTATCAGACTCGTGTGAGAAGCTGAAAGCGCGGACTCGTACGCAGGTTGATCCCCAAGCCATTTTATTGGGGTGGTCGCATTCAAAGGCCACTGGATGGAAATAGACTGCGTGACGTATTCAAAAAGAACTGCTCAACGCCTGCTGCTTTATCCTTTTCGGCCTTCCACTGGATTTATTAAAGTGACCCAATTACTTACCTTGAATCCTAGCGCATCGAACATATAAGCTAATGCTTGGCATTCCCGACAAGTCTGAGCAAAGACAATCACTGAACTGTTCTCATTTCGTTCGCAATAGTTCTTCACAACGTATACCTTAGAAAAAGAAAGAATATAGTCACACCTTTGGCGGTGTTAGGAACTAAGCATAAGATATTACCAGGTAGGCATCTTTCACAGCGACTGGACACAGGACAAACTTCTGTTCCAACCTTTCAACAGTCGCAATTTCCTGCTTATCCTCGAAGAAATAAGGTTTCTTCACAGTAACCTGCAAAAATCCGCTTTCGTTTTCAAATAGAGAACAAATTCCAGAGCTAACGGGTCTTCTGTATGACGAGTCTGAAAGCTACGAAAACATGGAATGTAACAGCTACTGATGGGGCGCTCGCAATCCCAATTACGGACAACCGAGCCATCGACCGTGTATCCTTACCAACATATCTATTGGGCAACGCAAATTTGTGTGAAATTCAGTGTGGAACATCAATGGATGAGGGTAAACGCACCGTGTGGAGTTTCGTGATGGCACTTGTGATAGTTGCCGAAAAGAGCAGCGTACGCCGTTGCTTAGGTATGGAAAGGAAGATAGATTTCAACTAAAAATATTTGTGAAAGTTCTGAGTGGAACAAGCAGGAAGCCCATGCAGGTGAGAGATAACACTGGAGAAAACAGCTTACCTGCTCGTTATACTGGCCGTCTAACAACTGATCTGCCTCATCAAGTACGAAAAACTGAATTTTCCTGAACAAAAACAATATTGTTTCGCACAAATTACTCAACGGGATTGAACCATGCGCACACATGATAGAAATTTTACTACGGACTAATAGGTATCAGGGAAAGGAGCGAATCCATGGAAGAAAACACTAGCAAAGAACAGGATGATGGAGCAGATGCGCAGAGAAAGCGGTTGAGGGTGAGCGATCCCGTTACGCTGTTCCGTGAGAAAACCCTCACAAATTCCGGGTGTGTCTAATAACTTCAATCCAGGGAGTGCGGTATGATTGAAGAATTATATATGTTATTGCTATATTTTTAAATTTTTTAAAATTGTTTATATGCTTTTGTTTGTATTATGATTTATTGGGACATAGCGCGGCGTGGTCTTGTAAAGGTATCGTTTGAAGTGCCCACTACAAGGAGTCATCGGTGAATTGGTTTTGTGGAGACGCTCTGATATGAGAGTACTCTGGGGTGGTATGCAGCCCCCCTGCCAGGGATTGGTGATTCGTCCCTGGTCAAGGAAAAATTCCCACTCTGGGATCCATCTACGGCTGGAGTCGCTACATACGGCTCCTATTCTCAGAAGAGTTGCGCTGCCCTGTCGAAATGACAGAGACGCATGGGTAAAGAACCAATACGTCACCCATCAAAGAATCACCATAGGACAAGCTCAGCGGTGAGTCCTGAGGTGAGATCTTCCAAGAAGTCTGTGATGCGGTGCCGTGCTCTGTCTTACCAATCTACACTTGCAACCTTTTCAATAGATTTCACTGTATTCACGCGGCAGAACCACCACAAGGACACAGTGAAATCTAATGACAAGGGAACAAGCGAACACAATAACAGGGGGATATAGGTAGCAGTGGTTTAAAATTTAATCACCACATTGAGCTGCGATCATCGCACTAAATGACAATAGAGTACCTGAACAACTGTCCTAATCCTTCGGAATCACTGTCGATATGATCAGCAAGCCTACCAGGAGTGGCAACGACCACATGAGGACGAGCAGTTAGTTCGTTCGCCTGATCAATCTATAAACTGGCGCTGATGAAACCGATGAGAAGGTTCTCTAGCTATTTCTTCCAGGAATCAATATTCTAAATTCTTCTCACGGATCAAACTTGTAAAATTTCTTTGTGAAAGCGATGGGCGAACGATGGAACTGGGAAGACCATCCGATTTATATCGAAAACGAGGAGGAATTTTCAGAACTAATACACTAAGTAAAATGCTCTCGCCCTTCATTAGAGATTACCTTGAAACTTTCTTGAAAATTTTGTGAGAGCAACAGTGATGAAAGAAACAAACATTAGGTCATTTATTCGGTTTTTGGGCAGTTTGGAAGATTACAATGAGAGAAACCAGGATATGGAAGTGTCCACGCCCACAGCATTTACTTCAGGTGACCTATGTTGGAAGCACCTGCTGAACGGGTACCGGTCAGCGGACTAAACTTTCTTCGTTTCACAACCTCTTATTGTGATCGACACAATAGTTCTGCGGGTTGGCCAACCTTACTAATAAAATTGTGCGCTCAATCAATGACGAAATTCTAATAACCAATTGACACTTACCAAGCTTCTTCCCTCCCGTGATCAGGGAGACCTTCAGCGCAACAGGCTTGCCAAGAGCAACAAACTGGTCAAAAATTTGTGAAGCCAGCTCACGGGTGGGTGTCAGAACAAGGGCGAAAATCCCATACGGATCGACTGCAAGCTGAAAATAGCCCTTGTAAATATCTTTATAACATCTTCCATAGGAAAGCAAAGCCAAATCTCTTATAGTTATGGGCGAAAGTGAAGAAGAAATTGAGTGAAGTACCTCATTGAGAATCGGAAGAACGAACGCAAGAGTTTTGCCTGTTCCAGTTTTTGCGCAACCGAGTACATCATGCCCACTGAGCACCTTAGGTATACAATTTGCCTGAAAACACAGATTTGGTGAATGGATTTTTCCCACGTGAAATAAATAATTTTATGCGCCGCTCTTCTGTTTCACTGCTTTTTGCACGGAATCGACCACGAATATTTGTGGATTATTTGTTTCACAAATAGGTATGAACAAGGGTACATTACCATTCAATCCCATGCGAATAATGTCGGGATGCTGGAGGCGTAGAAAACTTTTTGAGTCACTTGAAGGAGGAATCTGTGATGACGTCGAGTGTCCATGCAGGGAAAACTTACCTAGTGGAAGAGACGGGCGGATCCCCAAGGGTGCGGACCAACACGCAATTCGCAGCGAAGGATATGCCCCGGCGACCTAGCATGGCCTCCCGCGGCGCTATCGACGCGGCACGCCCACCGACTGGCTAACCACTCGCCGCAGATCTCCAGCCATTTAGCAGAGAGAGCGCTGGCGTTGAAGAGGGCAGCACTGATGAAAACCGCATCAACGTAGGAACCAACGAGCAGGAAAGGGGTCCCATTTTCGGATTCTGAGGCTTTCTCATGGGTTTTTCTTCATCCTGACCACCACCAGCGTAGTTCTTATGAGCAGCCTTCTAATCGTACACTCCGCCTTTGAAAGCAGCAATTGCGAAGTGATGCAGAGGCATGT